AGCACAACAAATTAGCTACAAATCTTGCACAAATCTCAACTTGTTCTGCCTTATTTTCCTCATTAGTAAAACAATGCATTTTGTATAGGTCATCTCTGAAGTTTCTTCCTGCTCTAAAATTGCATCATCATTGTAGTATATTAGAAACAAAAACAGACTAAGAGAAAATCTGGGTTCTAGGCTCAGCTTGGCCACTCACTGTGTGGCCTTGAACAGGTCACCTAACTTCCCTAGGTGTCAATTTTCTCATGATAAATGAGGAGTTTACCACTGGATCATTTCTAAGGTATTTTCTAACTGTGCTATCCTATAGAATGAGTCAATGATTCAATATCAGGAATAGGGAAGTTTCCATTTATAATACTATAATTCTAATGGCAGGATTATTACTTGCTGTGTCTGATTTGGAAGCACAATCTTTTAGAATATATCTGCTGTCCTCAAGATTGGTGTAAGGTTTAAAAAAATAAAAACGAGGTTCAGCATTGGAAACTCAAATGGCATGCCAATGGCATGGCGAATGAAAATGACATTCTTTAAAAATTCTAACTATATGACTTGGTTTTATATCTTTTTTCTATTTAAGAGGAAATAACAGAAGCTTGAAAAGCAGTAAATATGTAAAGGGAAAATTTGTCAACTGATATAGGAAGATCTGACCTAGGTCACACATAAATCTCTCAGACAAGAGCTTCAGGGCAAGTCATAATTCCAGAGAGTAAAAGAGAAAATGAAAGCTATAGCTAGTGTCTTCTGTAAGTTACATAGGTGGATTCATTTTAGTTTTCTGATTGTGCCTTTGAGTAGAGTGGGAAAGGACTGGTAGAGGTCTTCTTTGGCACTTTCTGTCAAAAATATCTCCATGGTGACAGAAACATAATGTGATGGTCTGTCAAAAGTTGCTTTTCATCACCAGAGGCATGTATTAAATGGTAGGAGCAACATAAGGAAAACTTTTGCATTGTTAACAATGAAATTTCCCCAAATCAGGTTACAGAAGCCTGTTATCTCACTTCCACCTAATGGTTTTAACAGTTACAACACAAACCTGGCTTTGCAATCTATTATAACAGCAACTGATATTTCTATGGGATCTTGAAGTTTGCAAAAAAAAATTATGTCTTTTGATTTTCATAACATAATTCTCAATTGTGAGACTCTTGCAGTACTCAGTAGGACTCTAGGAGAAAGGTGCAATTGTTATCTCCATTTTGCAAATGAGAGAACAGAAACTGGGGTGGGGGGAGTCATTTTTCCAGGGTTCTATAAACTATTAAATGTCTGAAGCAGAACTCAAACCTGATTCTTCAGACTCTAAGACTAGCATTTTATTTACTATAGCACCCTTGATTGTATTTGTTAGTTAGAAATACACAGTATAAAGCCTTCAGGAAAACAAAATAGAAATTATTTACTAAGCTTCCAAAGTTGGGTTTGAGCATTTTGTTTTGGAGTTTTTCTTGGAAACCTAATTATTAAAAAATACAAACTCTTTAGGCATGTGATCAACCAGCAACTATTTGGCACAGTATAATAGAAAGGACACCAGATTGGAAGTCAGGGACCCAGGATTCACATCTCTGCTCTGCTCCTTGCTTTCTGTGTAATCTTGGTACATTGTGTCACTGCTCACCTCAGCTTGCTCCTCTATAAAACTGAGGGGGCTAATCTGGATGACCTCTAAGGATCCTCTCAGCTTTAAATCTGGAATCCTATTTGCAAGACATTGCACTGTAAGATATACAAAGAAAGAGGAGAGGCAGTCCCCATCAATGACGGAGAAGAGGAAATATGGGTATAGTGCAGCACAAAAACAGTGATTGTGAAGCATGAAATTGTGCCTCTCCATTTAAACACAGGTCTCTTTTTACCTCAAAATGATGCCCTATCCCCATGCTATTATCATTTTAAATCTTGGCCCTAACTGCTGGCAGAAGGATAAAAGTAATGCCTGGAAGAGGGAAAGGATCAGCTAATTAACAGATCAAAACACTACTAGTTCTAGAGACTGATTAGCAAAGTGTGTGATTGTGGCAATTATAGCTCTGCTCATTGTCCCAAAGTAATAGTTACAGTCAGGAAACTCTCAGCAAAGGCAAAATATATACATGGCAGAACAAGAACTCCCACTAGGTAGTTATAAGCACCAGTTCATATGTTGTAAGATGTGGATCATACATCAGCCCCAACAGCATCCCGTTCACTTGAACTTTGGTCTTGAAACAAAACATTGGGAAAGCAGACCAAGGGTAAAAACGGAAGTGAAGGGAGCTAACATTTTTATAATGAGTACTGTTGGACCTACTTTGAATGGGCTATAAAACTAGGAGCTTCACTTTTTCATGAACTGTGTATGAAAGTGGAGGCATTGGCTATGAAGTTGACTTTTGTTTGGGCTTGTTTTATGGGTTCTGAGCCCACACAGTAATGTGATCTTGAAAAAGGTAAACAACAGAGAGTTTAACAGTGAAAAATATGCCTAATATAAATACAGTCAAGTGCATTGCAGTTCAGAACTTGAAAAATATGACTATAGCATTAAATTTTCTAGTGGAATTAACAGAGGAACAGAATGCAGCCTTTAAGGCAATATATTTGAGACAGAGAAAATAGATAATACATCTAACTCTATGGTCTCTGTGGCATTCATATAAAGAAAAGCACAGTAGCTTTATTTAATTGAGAAAATGAATCAATTACAATGATGTTGCGTCATCAAATTCTGGTGAAATAGAAGATATAAGTCACCACGTTGTGTAACAGTGTTAAAAAGTAATTGAGTGTCTTAAGCATTTTGAATCAATTTCAGGTACTGGCAAGGCCACCTTGATGAAAAATTTATGAAGATGATCTCAAATAATATGTTGCCATCAAAATCGTGTAATAAAACTTGGTAACAATGTCTCTTTTTAAAACCTAAAAAAAAAATACGGTATAGTTAGTAGCATCAAAGGCGTTTTTTGTTTACATCTGTTTTTCGATTATTTGTTGTCTACACAGCAAGAGCTAAACTAGTACAATTTTAAGACGCCTTGAAAACTGATTATCTTCGTGGAGAAAGACGTGATGAACTGCTTGCTGTACTCTCTGAAATAGCAATTCATGGAAATATTTTTCTCTCCATTCAAATGACTTGCATACTTTGATGAGTATTTTGCATATGTTGTTAGGATAAAACCCACATCCTTGGCTGAAAATATTAGCTAAATTTTCTTCTGCAAGAGTGCAGCACTACATTCCTTGGATATGCTCCTTCACTGATAGACATTTAAAAAAAAAAAGACATCTTGTGATTGATGTGCAACAACAATATTTTTTTCAAAGTCTTATCCAAACCTTCTGGCCAGATTGAGATATGAGGGTCTACAAACAAATGTCTCTTATTTCAGGAGATGCTATTTATGCCTTTAGTGCTTTTTAAATGTTAGATGGAATTATAGCAAAATTTCTAGTTTGCTGTGTAAAATTCAACCAAGTGGTGAAATGTTTAAGCTTTGCCTTCCTATCAAATTATAAATGTAACTATCCGTAAATCAGTACTGAAAATAATCATTTTGTCAGGAGGAAACTACCGTTGATCCAGAGCTGTGGTTAAGGCTGAAAAGATTGAAGCAGAGTGGCCTAGCAACTGCTTCAGACTTTAAACAGTGCTTTTTGGTGATTCCATCCAGAGCGTTGGTGAGGATGTTTACTGGTGACCTTGATGAGTGCAGGAAAAAATGGAAAGAAGTCTGTTAGTATATACGTATATTATATAGGGATGAGGGGTGGGGAGAGGAAGGAGAGAGAGAGAGAGAGAGAATATGAATGTGTATGTGTGTGTAGTCCCTGGCCTGGAAGAAATCAAACCAATGGAAGAATACTTAGAAATTAGAAAGCAAAGCATAAACACATGCAAATTAGTTTGTTTCAAAATGGTGAGATGGTTGAGGAAGAAGCAACTAGTTTATTTGGTGATTTTATATTTGTCCTATTCTTTTTGCCTCCCATTTACCAACCCAGCTGGAGACCAGTCATCGAAGCACAGCTACAATGGGTTCATATATTCAGGCAAAGCCAAGAAATAGCATATGATACTCTAGAGCAGCCAAGAATAGGATCCTAAAAGTATCTTTCTCAGGATCATATCTTAGTACCTGAAAATACACAGGGTTTGAATTTTCAAAATTACTGCAGGCGTATTTTTCTTGCACTGCAGTGTTTAATACTGTAATTACTAAGTAGATGTTTTATTAATTTGGTGTCAACATTTTTAGTAATTCTTTCTAAGAAATGTAGTTTATCACTGTTATAGATGAGTAAACAGGCCTGCCTTCAGAATTTTGATTAGAAGCAAGTAGGAAGTCCTAGGTGGGCTGGATGAAAAGTCTTTGCTTTTTCTTAAAAACAATGCAAAACTTATGTGAATTTGATTTCCCCAGAGAACATTGCTATCCTGGAAACATGGTGGGAAAACTTTAGGAGAGGTGGATCATCTGCCCCCTCTCCTGAGTTAGAAGTAGATACTTCAACCACATAATTAAAGTTTTCTTCACAAAATAGGGAATTGTGAGCAGACACTGGCAGGAATCCAAAATTCTAATTTCTGACTATGATTTAATTTCAATTTTAAATAAATCGGTTTTTAATTTAAAAAGAGTGAGCTTCATAACATTAGCAATGATTGCAACATTAAGCCCAGTGTTCACAATCTAGCAATATAAAACATTATTTATATCTGAATCGTAAACAGCCTTTTGAAATGGATTATGGTTTTTCTCCCTATTCTAATACAACCTGGAGGGTACTAAAAAGTGTTGTGTGAAATTAACATTCTGCTGACTTTCGCCTATAAATGAGAAGCGAGCTATTAACATTTGTGTATTTTCATTATGTAAATTGTGTTAACACATGCCCACAAATTGCCACCAGCAATGCAATAATTTTCTCTCAGTGATCATAATGTGTCCAAGTGAGTCATTTTGATTATGACATGCTAATTACATATTGCCTTTTTTCAGATTCAGAAAAACCAGGGATCTTTAATGGTAAGCTTTATGAGTTCAGAAAAAAATTCACTTTTCTTTTTCCTGATGGCTGCTTCCTTTGCATGCTTGAATGCCTTGTTTTAAACTTAGCAAATTGCATTTTGAAGAAAATGCAAACCTTTAACTGCCTGTATTAGATTAGGTACCATTAGAAATAATAGAACATCCTGAGCATCAATGTTTTTATAAGAGTTTGCTGCTGTTGATTAATCTTGCTATATTTTATTGCATTAATGATTTTTTCTTTCCACTCCACTGTAAAATATTGCATATAGGCTAATACTTTTTCCTCTCTTCTTCCCATTGCAGCCTCTCCAGCTACTGCAGTGCATTGTTGATGAGGTGAGGCACCGTCTTATGTGCTTTCACTCCTAAAGTCATTCCTAATGGTGTGGAAAGCTTATATTTTGTTTCCTAATGAAGCACAATGCCCAACATCCTCAGAGCAAGTTGTGTTGTATGGCATTGAGCTGTGTTACATGAGCTGCCCCTGTCCCACATTCTCTTCTTTCAGTTCGAACAGAGAATCCCTACAACAACAGACTGCCCCACACACAGATAGATACTTATGGGGACATGAGGCCCTAAAGACAGAATACATAATAATTGATCCTCTCCCCCTCCAGACAGAGGATGGAGCCGGAAATTAAAGGGGTATCATTTATTTCATAACAGATATTTAAAGTCATTTGGCATTTGAGGGTCAGAGGTGAACAGCAACCATAAGTGGGATGAAATTTGTCTTCCTTTCTTTATTTACCCAAAGCATATTGGGGAGCTAATTGTACATAAGCTGTAGGTCACTGGTTCAGCTTTAATTTCCTAATTAGACATTTTCCCAGAATATGTGACCTTAACTTCCTTTACTTTGAACTACCATATTTATATTTTAAATCATTATGTCTTCGATAATAGCTAGCTATGTAGTTCATAATATCACTGTTCTTTGAGGGCACTAACCCATCTCTCAAGTAACTTTTCCCATTTGTTATTCTGATTTTAAATTTCTCATTTTGGTAAATTAGCTGTTTTGCCCTATATAGGGCTCCCAACGAAGAAACACTGATATTAAAAAAAAAATCATAGTTTTTCCAGGCTAGGCTTTCCCACTAGCAATGTTTATTTTTAAAACTTTAATTTTGTAATATTTTAAATACTTCTAATTAGAGAGATGAAGCAATAAATGATTCAAATAGGAAAGTTTGAAAGAAAAAACAAATCGTAATTCATAATTATTCCTCTCAATTAAACATCTGTATAACCAGTTATGAGATTTGGGAGAAAAAATAAAGATCCTCTCAGGAAAAAGACAAACACACACATATCACAATAATAGTAAGAATGGCGATCTAACATCCTTAATGACAGCATCAGTCAGTCCACATATCCCCTGCAACCCATAAAACATGTTGTGCAAAAATGAGCACATCATCCTGAAGCCAGTGGAGGCTCCATTACCCCAAATACCAGACAGACCTCCTGGATCTAGTAGCTCACCAATATCTTCTCCATTTGTGTTACATTCCGGAAGCATCCTATCCCGAGCAGTCCTCTAAATTAAACAGAGCTGCATGAATTCAATCCTCTTTCAGTTTTACTCAGAGATGTTTCCAGAAATCTATAGCCTCCCACGTTCAGTACCATAGCCTCATGTCTTAGGGCCCTATTCTCATGTGCCAGGCTAAGAATATACAATCAGGCACCATCAGCCTGAATCTCTAATACAGATTTCTTGGGAAACTTTTGGGGTTTGATGAGCTAGTTTTTATTGCTGGTGGGGAGGGCATATTTATGTATAATGGTTGCACGCAAAATCCAAATTATCATAAGTGACTAGTTTTCAACAAATTCCTGAGCATATTAAAATCACTATATGAGCTGTTGGAAGTGGAGAGGTTTGTTACATGAATGACAGAACTACATCATCTAAGTGGCTTTTTCTTTAGGTCCTTTCTTCTTTAACTTACTCAGATATGCAACCTGCACTCACCCTAAAAAGAAATGGAAATTTCTTACCACCTTCTCCACTGCCAGTTATTTAGAAATGTCTTTCTGCTTTTGTACCTTCTCCTCTCTAATTCATTTATCATGTAACATTGTACGTCATAATTATCTGTACTTCTCTTGTTCTCTAACTAGAATTATTACCCCCACCTGACCTAATTCAATAGCCAGTATTTTAATAAGCATTTATTGAACACCCAGTATAGGTCAGGTACTGTGCTAAGTTGCTGAGGACACAAATATAGTACAGTATGGAGAAAGATGGTCCCTGCCCTCAAGGAGTTTGCAATCTAACTGGAATTTAAAAACACACACACACACACACACACACACACAAAATGAAGCTTAAAAGACGAGAGAGGAGTGTTTCTCCTTAAACAAAGGTTTGAAGTTCGTGGCTCCACCCCCCAGTCCAAGAAGGAGGATAGTGATGAGGTGGAATACCAAGGCTGATAGAGATCTAACTAATTAAAAACTGTCTCCCTGGTCTGCACTATGGTAGGTGCTTAATACATGTTTGTTGAATGAGAGACTAAGAAATAACTTGTTATTTTGACTGAAAACACAATTAGTTTGCTTTTTTGTGATTTACACCCAAGTGGAAAACTCATATAAGAGCCGGAGGGGAGGATGTTTTGGGGGACCCATTAAAGATGAGCTCTGTATCATAGCTTCTAAAAGAAGGAGGACCAATGACTTATCTGAGCTTCAATATATTTTAATAATTGTGCTCCTCTTGTCATGTGAGTTTATCAGATTTCCCAGCATTTGTAACACTTTATTTAGACTAAGCCTACGGGGCAGTTAGATGGTTCAGTGGATAGAGTGCTGGGCCTACAGATTTCGAATCTGGCTTCAGACACTTACTAGTTGTGTAACACGGGGCAAGTCACTTAACCCCATTTACCTAGTCTCCTCATCTGTAAAATGAGCTGGACAAGGAAATGACAAACCACTCTAGTATCTTTGCCAAAAAAACAAAAGGGGTCACAAAGAGTTGGAAACTACTGAAAAATGACTAAAAACAACAGTAATAAAAGGTGAAACTCAACATGAATGGGATCCAGCAGCCCAGTACCATAGAGTTAAAGCTTGAAAAGGGACTCTAGAGGCCACTAATTATAAACCCCTTTATTTTATAGGTGAAGAAATGGTTTGGTGCCCCTAGTATGAGTTTTAATACTTTTTCTGGGTTCATGGGTGCCTTTCCTTCCTGGGCTATGTGACCAGGAGCACCTCCTGTTTAAGAATAGTTTACTCCTTCAGTGCAGGAAGTACCCCATATTATAAAATGGTTGTCCACTACTCCTGATTGAGTGCTCCTAGGTCATGTAACATTGTGGTAATAATAGCAGGCATGACACCTACGCTGAAGATATTTACAACCTAATTCAGACAAGATAGGTATGCAGAGTCATGTACAAAATAACATAAAGCAAAGCCGATTATAATTTATCTTGTTATTTCATGGGTTTGGGTATTTCTTCTCAAAATAAGAGCCATGAGAATACAGGATCTGTGGTTTCTGTCAGTCTGAGGGGCCTCCTGTTGGGCAAATCCCTCTGCCACCACAGATTCCAAACTCTCTGCGACTTTTGTAAGTTAAGTGCTAGGGAGGTATCTGATGGTTAAGGAGCTTGCTCAGAGTCACACTGCTGACAAATACCAGGTAGTTAGGTTTAAAGCCAGATTTCCCTGACCTTAACCCCTGCATGCTCTCCAGTAGGTAGGCTCTGCCTCTTCCAAAAGTAGGAAAATTATTAAAAATCATAACATCATAGATTTAGACCAAGAAGGGACCTTAAAAGTCCAATCCCTCCATTTTGCAGATGAGGAAATTGAGACCCAGAGAAGTTAAGTGACATGCCCAGATAGCAAGTGTTTATGTATTTTGAGTTTTGGTCAGTATATTTTGTACATCACACATCTGTCCTGACTGAATTAGTTTGTAAACTACGTTAGGGCCCATGCCATACCCAGTGTCACCATTCCCCCTCCCTCAGTGTTCATTCTTTAAAAAAAAAAATGATTGAAACATTTTGTTTTGTTTTGTTTTTATATTGAAAAATAACTTATTTTATATTTTATGGCTTATGCATCCTGTCATTCTTAACATTGCATTTTGTTCTGTTTTGTTTTTAAATTCATTTATTTTTGGTTTTCAACATTCACTTCCACAAGATTTTGAGTTCCAAATTTTCACCCCAACTCGCCCCTCCCCCCACACCAAGATGGGTGAATATCCCTTCCCCTAGTCTGCCCTCTCTTCTCTCTCTCTCCCCTTCTCTTATCCCCTTCCCTTTCTATTTTCCTGTAGGGCAGGACAGACTTCTGTACCCATTTCCTGTATTTCTTATTTCCCAGTTGCATGTGAAAACATTTTTTTTAAACATATGTTTTTAAAACTTTGGGTTCCAAATTTTCTCCCTTCCTCCCTCCCCACCCACCCTCATTGAAGAGGTAAGCAACTCAATATAGGTTATACATGTGCAGTTATGCAAAACACTTCCATGGTAGTCATGTTGTGAAAAACTAACTCTATTCCCCTTAATCCTATCCCACCCCCCATTTGTTCTATTCTTTCTTTTGACCCTGTCCCTCCTTAGAAGTGTTTGCTTCTGATTACCCCCTTTCCCAGTCTGCCCTCCTCTCTATCATTCCCCTGCTCTCTTGTCCCCTTCTCCCCCTATTTTCCTGTAGGATAAGACAGATTTCCATACCCAATTGAGTGTATATGCTATTCCCTCCTTAAGCCAAATCCTATGAGAATAAGATTCACTCATTCCCTCTCACCTTCCCCTGTTTCACCTCCACTGTAAGAGCCTTTTCTTTTCTGTTTTTTTTTGTGAGTTAATTACCTTGTTCTATCTCTTCCTTTCTTCTTCTCCTGGTATAATCCTCTCTCACTCCTTAATTTTATTCTCCAAATATGACCCCTTCATCTTCAACTCATCCTGTGCCCTCTATCTATCTATCTGTATCTATACATATAATTTTTTTCCCTCCAACTACCCCAATACTGACAAAGGTCTCATGAATTATAAATGTCATTTTTCCATGCAGGAATGTAAACAGTTCAACCTTAATAAGTCTCTTATGATTTCTCTTTCCAAAACATTTTATTTTGACCAACAGAAGGGCATCGTGGCATAGTGGGCAGGGCTCTGATCTTGGAGTCAGTAAGACCAGGGTTTGAATTCAACTTCAGATATTTACTTAGATCTGTGATTATAAACAAGTCTCAATTCCTCTGACCTCCAGAATACTCTCTAAGACTCAAAGTCAAGAAAGATTCTGATCTGTCTTAGTAGACAGATTTCCCAATCCAATGCATTCAC